CGCCTTGATCGATCTTTTTGAACATGATTCTTTTATTATCTTACCCAAACCGTGCTACACAATTAAAAATGCACTTCAATCAATTTTAAATGTCATTCCCTATTTTTTTGTAATTTTTCTGTAGCTTTTCGAATTTTTAAAGCCCTTATTTGGCATAAAAAAATCAAAATAAAATAAAAAAAATGAAAAAAATAATTTAATAATTTACATATCTCATAAACAACAATCATATATCTCATAACCATTACCCACATATCTCATAACCAACACTCTTTGGCTCATAACTAACATCACATATATCATAACCACTAATCACATATCTCATAACACCCTTTGGCTCATAGTCACACCACTTTGATTATAATTAACATCACATATCTCATAACCACATCTCATAACCAGTACCATTTTGTTGATAACCAATATCATATATTTCATAACTACAATCACATATCTCATAACTACATCTCATAACCAATATCCTTTAGCTCATAATCACACCACTTTGATCATAACCAATATCACATATCTTATAACTAATAACCACATATCTCATAACCAAACACCCTTTTGACTCATAACTACATTACTTTGCTCATAACCAAAATCACATATCTCATAATCAACAATCATATATCTCATAACCATTACCCACATATCTCATAACCAACACTCTTTGGCTCATAACTAACATCACATATCTCATAACACCCTTTGGCTCATAGTCACACCACTTTGATCATAATTAACATCACATATCTCATAACCATTAGTCATATATCTCATAATCAATACTCTTTGGCTCATAACCATACCACTTTACTTATAACCACTAATCACATATCTCATAACCAACATTCTTTGGTTCATAACCACACCACTTTACTCATAACCACTAATCACATATCTCATAACCACATCACACTACAAGAAAAGTGGGCTTATGAGGCGGAACTTTTTGCGACGACACATTTGCCATCGCAAAAAATGACTTTTTGCGACAGCACAACTTGCTGTCGCAAAAAATGTGACTTTTAGAGACGGCACAACTTGCCATCTCAAAAAAATGCCTTTTTGAGACGGCACAACTTGTCGTCGCAAAAAATGTGACTTTTGGAGACGTCATAACTTCCTGTCTAAAAAAAAAGTGACTTTTTGAGACGGCACAACTTGCCGTCGCCAAAAAATGTGACTTTTTGAGACGACACAACTTGCCGTCGCAAAAACATAGAGTATTTGCGATGACAGAAATTGCTGTCGCAAAAAAAAAAGAGTATTTGCAACGGTACCGGTTGCAGTCGAAAAAAAAAAAAAGTTTTTGCGATCGTAATACGTACCGTTGCAAAAAAAAAGTTTAAAATATATATATATATTGTGGCTTTGATACGGCTTCATATATATATAGCCATAAAATGGTTTAAATAAATGCAGCGGTATTTTTCTGTTACAAAAAAAATAAAAAAAAATAAAAACGACGTCGTCTTACTCTTTTGAACATTTCTCCTTTCACCCATTTTTTCATCTTTCTATCTCTCTGTCTCTGTCTCTCTTCTCTTTCTCTTTCTTTCTCTCACTCATAACTCTTCTCTGTCTGTCTATCTGTCTGTCTGTCTCTCTCTCTCTTTCTCTATGTGTCTCTGTCTCTCTTATCTCTCTTTCTCTCACTCATCACTCTTCTTTGTCTGTCTGTCTCTTTCTTTCTCTCTATGTCTCTGTCTCTCTTCTATTTCTCTCTCTCACTCATCATTCATCACTCTTCTCTGTCTGTCTGTCTGTCTCTCTTTCTCTCTTTGTCTCTTGTCCATCTTTCTTCTCTTTATCTCTCTCATCTCTTTTCTCTCTTTGTCTCTCTTCTCTCTCTCTTCTCTTTATCTCTCTCGCTCTCTCGCTCATCTCTCTCTGTTTCTCTCTCTCGTTTATCTCTTTTCGCTCTATCTCTCTCTCTCTCTCTCTCTCTTTGTCATATCTTTTCATCCATTTTTTCATCTTCCTTCATTTCTCTCTTCTCTTTCTCTCTCTCACTTATCACTTTTCTCTGTCTGTCTATCTGTCTCTCTCTGTGTCCCTCACTCATCTATCTCTTCTCTCATCTCTTTTCTCTCTCTGTCTCTTTCGCTCATCTCTCTTCTCTTTATCTCTCGCTCATCTCTCTTCTCTCTATCTCTCTCATCTCTCATCTTTCTCTGTCTCTCTCGCTCATCTCTCTTCTCTCTATCTTTCTCTCTGTCTCTCTCGTTCATCTCTCTTCTCTTTATATCTCTCTTCTCGCTATCTCTCTCTGTCTCTCTCGTTCATCTCTCTTCTCTTTATGTCTCTTTTTTGTCTCTCACTCTCTATCTCTTTTTCTTTCTCTTTCTCTCTTTCTCTCTCTCTCTCCCACTGTGTTTGCGTTGTTCACTCTCTCACTCCCGTCTTCTCTATTTACTGAGCTCCCTCTAGATTTATCGATCCACTACACGAAAATGCACTTTTAGCGACCACTTTATCTCTCTCTCGCTCATCACTCTGTCTCTCTCTCTCTTCTCTCTCCTCTATCTGTCTCTCACTCATTTATCTCTCTCACCACCCATCTCCTCTACCACATTCACCACTACTACAAACTCTATTCCACCACCACCACTACTTCCACTGTCGCCACTTCACCTCTACGGCTACCATTACTACTGCCATCGGTACCACTTCATTACCACCACTACCACTACTGCCACTACTACTACCATTACCTCTTCTTCATCCCTGTCACTCCATTTACACTACCACTACCACTACCACAACTTCACTACTAATCTCTTTCACCATGACCATCACCATCACCATCACCATCATCTTTTATCCACCATCTTCACCACTATTGCTGCTCCCTTTCCTCTACCACAAAAAATTAGTTCATGATTTTTAGTAACAAAAAAAAAAATAGGCCGCAGAAAAATATTTTTCATTGACTACAAAAAATTAACTTTTATTTTAGTGGAAAATATTTTTCATTAAAATATTACCCCTACTTCTACCAAATAAATAATAATAATATTTTTTTAAAAAAATTCATTAACTACAAAAAAATATATATTTTAACAAAAAATAAATTTTTTTGACGACGACAACCCTCGCCGCAAAAAAAAAAAAAAAAAAAAATTAAACGACGTTATTTTATTATTTAAATTTCATTTGTGACTAAAAAAAAATATTTTTTTATTTTTTATTCCCGCCCCCTTTTTTTTTCCATTCCCGCTCCTCCCTTTTTTTTTTCCATCCCCCACTCCCCCCCAAAAAAAACAAAAAAATCCCCAATCTCAAACCCAAAAATCCCTAATCTCTTCTTACCCCCCTCTCTCTCTCTCTCTCGATTGATCGACGTCGAGCGGTGGAGGAGCAGCAGCAACGTCGGCCTCCTCAACTTTACGCCTACATTTTTAATTCCTAATAGGCAGTTACAACATACCCATGCAACTTTTGTGAGGGGATTCTTGAATCCAGTGAGTATTCTTACAGCTACTTGTAGCATTCAAAAATTCATTACTCATATGCTTAGTTACTCTGTTTTCACTATAACAAAAGTAACCTATGGTGACAAAAAGTAGTGAAGAAAATAAATTTCGTCACTAAATAAGAACAATTTGTGACGAATTATAAAATTTTGTCACATATAATAAAAAAATAAAAATAATAGGTGACGAAATTTATTTGCGTCAATAAATACTTCTTTTTAGGTGAGAAAAAATTAAGTTTCGTCATTGAAGGCTTTTCCGCCAAATTTTTTTGGTGGCGCCAAAATTTTGAGACTTTTGGTGAGAAAAAAATTTGTCACTAATTATAAAATTATTAGTGAGGAATATGTTTTCGTCACCAATAATTTTACATTTTGTTTTTAAAAAAAACTTGATTTTAAATATTTTAAGATTATTTGGTGAGAAATATATTTTCCTTACTAATAATTTTTAATATTTTGAGACCTTTTACTGAGGAAATTATTTTGTCACTAATTTTGGATGGAAAATTTTGACAAATTGAGCAGTAATGAAAAAAAAATACTCTACTAATTTTTTCTCTCTTTTTTTTTTTGTGTGTGTTTATCAATTTTCCTCTCATATCTCTCTCTTTCATCCTCTCATATCTCTCTCTCTCTCACTACAACAAATTATAATTTTAACGATTAAAAAATTTCATAAAACACACAAATTTATTTTTTAGCAGGAATACTTTTATGAATTATGATTTATTTTTATTTTTTTTTCATATTTTTTCATGTCTTTACATAAACCCAAAATTAAAGCACTAAAAAAATAGCAGCGCTGCATACCCCCAGTGGGGGTCGCACCCCCAGTGAGGTGTCGCGCCCCCACTGGCGGAAACCCAAAAAAAAAAAAAAGAAAAAGAAAACAGTTTTTTTTTTGTCCAATTATGGACTGCCACCTCACTGAGGATCGACCCCCAGTGGGTGTATGAGCCATTTTTCTAAGTGTAATTTACCCTTAAAATTATACAAAGACATAGTGAATTTTACAAATTTGCCCTCTTCCCCTTGCCCTCATGTCATCTCTTTTCATCCCTTTAATCACTAGAAACTTCTTTTCACACGTCTTCATTCTCTCGTAGCCTTGCCTCAACTTCTCTAGTTCTTTTCCCATGTAGTCCCTTTTTCGTTATAATTAGGGCAAATTACATATACCCTCTCGAAATTTAGTAAAATTATAGATATTTTTTTAAGATTTGAGAAATTACAAATATTTCCTAAAAGTTATATTTTCATAACAAATTAGGAGACAATTTATTATAAAAATATAAATCTCATAGAATAATTTATTATAAAAACATAAACCTCAAAGGATATTTGTAATTTTTGTAATGTGAAGAGTATTGTAATTTAGTTGAACTTCAAAAGAGATATATGTAATTTGCCCATATAATTATTGTGGCAATCCAATCTTTTCTTCAGAACATCGCAAGACCCTAGCCCATCTCTAGGCCACCACGACATCCCACCTCACTCCCGGAGCTCTAGATCCTCAATTCTTCTTTTTGCTGCCATCGCGATACCCCAAGTTCTCTCATAGAATATAAAATCTTCAATCCTCTCATTCTCTAACATCGCAATCTCACCCTTTTTTAATCTTTATTTCTTTCATCGCGATTGCGGTCTTTGTTGCAACGTTAGCAAATACGTAAGGGGCTATGATGTGAAAGAGACTAAGACGAGCGAAGTAGTGGAAGGAGGGTTGGAGGGAAAGCGGTGATGGCGTCAGGGAAGTGGCAAGGGTTGACAATGGGAAGTAGAGATTGAGAGAGGGTCGTCGACTAGAAATGATAAGAATTAGGTAGTGAATGATTAGGAAAAATGGGTAAGAGTGGCTGGAAACTGGGAAGATTGAATGAATAATGAAATGTGGTTGGAGAAGTTGGGGAAGAAGACAGAAGAAGAGAGAGAATCATGCAGAAAGAAAGAAAGAGGGCTAAAACATAATAATAATTAGGAAAAACTCTATCCATACATACAATTTATAACCCCAAAAAAAAAAATAAATGAAAAGAATGACGTAATTATATTATTATTATAAATAAAAGTCATCTTTATAAATACATAAAGATTTTATTTTAAAATGAAACATTATTCTTAAGGCATATCATTATATATGAAAATGTGTAAGTTTTCTATTTGTATATCACTATTTCAATAATTATTAATTTTAATCACTATTTAATTTCCATATATTGTACTTGATTTTGATTCTTTCACATTTTTACAATTGTTTCAACTCGGTTGCAGCTCTCTTTCAAATTAAAAAAATTAAAATATAAATTATCCTTTGTAATTGTAAAAATTACAAATATCCTTTTGCAAACTAGTTATTCCTAGTATCTTCAACCATAAAGCTATTTTCTCCTATGTTGAATGAACCCCTAAATACCACTTCATTTTTTGCGTAACTTTGTGGCAGAGAAAAAAATTCAAGATCGTGTTCACTTTGTTAACAAAACCCTTAATGTAGCTCCTTATCTTGTGTCCATTGATGTTCTTGTTTAGAACTCCCAGGTACTTTCGCTGAATTACGGTGTCAGTTCACATTGCAAGCATTACTTTATTTATTCATTTTTCCATTTTTTCTAGGAGTCATAGTTTATAAAAGTAAATTCAGTAAAGCAGTGTCACCTATATACACTTATTTTTTCTTTCAGTTTGACATTCTACTTCTTCATTTTAGTAGGATTCATTTACCTTTTAACTAATATCACTCCTTTGCCTTTTTTACTTCAATGAAAGGAATATTAGGTCATAATAATCTTCTACCCTTATTTTGTGAACTATATTTGCCACTGAGAATGATCATTTGATGTATGAACTTGATAGAATATTCATAGATGAATTATTTATCGTTGTTGTGGAAATCTGAACACAATATATCTTGTAATTCCCAAATTCAATCACAAAACATATGGGGGATGGAGCATGGTATGATATGGTGTTTCCTGTTGTTCATTGGTGAAACCAAAGCAAAGTCCAATTTTGTGAATCTAAAGATAAAACTTTGGGGTTTAAATGCCCAACAACTTATGAAAGCCATTAATGAGTACTGAGTTAAAACAGCAGGAGCAGTAGCTTTTTATCCTGTCATCTATCCTGTAGCTTTATATTTTTATGTGTGCTGTTATGTATTATCAATTGAAAGAATACTTTTTGATTGAACGTAATGAAATATTTCATCATCCTGGTTGCAGGTTCTTGTCATTTTCTGTGAACCAACTGCGGTTACCATTCGCAACATTGCATCTCAGATAATGAACAGAGAAAGTTTGACTCGGCTGATATTAGTGGTGCAAAATCAAATGACAAATCAAGCTCAGAAAGCTGTGGATCTGTTCTCCTTCAAATTTGAAATATTCCAAGTACGTTTATGGTATTATCGAAGTATTGCATTTTTTTTCCCCATTCTTTACATTACTGTTACTATGTTGAGATGCGAATTTTGGCATTCCAGAGTATCGTTTCGTGTTTTAATGCTTGATTTGTGACCATTAAGTATAATTGACCTACCAAAAAGTAAGCAAATATCAATGAATATTAGCTACAAGCACAGTTGACTTGAAGGATTTCCTTTAGAAGGGATGTATATGTCATGCATTTTCTGTGGGGGAAAACTGTTCGATTCAATACTTTAGGTATTGAGACCCTCAAGCCATTCAAAAATAATTTTAAAATTTTCATCATGGATGAGTAATAAGGGAATTGTTGTTGGTGATGATTAATTTGAGTGGAATCCTTATTGGCCAAAACAAATTTATGTGAGGTTTGACTGGATCCTTAGGAATGTATTGCAATGATTAAAGAAAGTTTTTTGAGTAATTTTACTGGGATGTGGGAGTATAGAAAAGAAAACAAATTCATCCTCGAGGAGGAGGATGTCGAGTTGTCTTTTCAGAGTATATTGGCTTACAAGAGGAGAGTTGGAGGAGGAAGCAAGAGAAAGAGCATTCTGTCAAATTAGTATCTTAGTTTTGATTATTTTTCAAATAATCCTTCTATAAAGCTGCCCGTTTTTAAATCATTTGGCTTACTTTTGTGATTAAATTCTATTTCATGCCTTTAATGTCGTACCGTTCTATATTTAGATTACCGACTTGCTTGTTAACATTACAAAGCATGTGTTAAAGCCAACGCATCGAGTACTTAATGATAAGGAGAAGCAGAACCTCTTGAAGAAGTTTAGTTTGGAAGAAAAACAGGTTAGTTATTAATTTGTGATAGTTTTGCTATTTTAAGCTTGAAAATGCTAAAAAAAGGATGTTGCTATCTAAGGAAGTTTTTTGTTTCTATTTTTATTGCTTAGCTATTGAGAACTCATATTCTTGTTGTGGGTTCTGTTATCACTTTTCTTTTTATAAAACTGCATATTCTTGTTGGTGTTTCGTAGTTGATCTTTGATTCTTATCGTACTGGTGTCTAAAATATTTATTTAGTGCTGCTTAGAAGTAGCTATTCCTCATTAATGTTGTAGGAGTTCTTCAATGTATTTACACATACATAATATAAGATGCATTTAACATCAAACGTAAATCTCTCGAATATGTTAACCATGTAAAGTTAGATGTTGGGAAGATAACTTTGGTTGGAGGATATGAGTAATTAGTCTGAAAATTACTCAATCGAGATGTCATAATATAAGAGAGTTGTTGTATATGCTGGGATGTGGCCATGACCCTTGTACTACCCTCAAACCAAATGTTAATGTTTGACTTGATCCCGAATGGAGTCATCATATCCTACTCAGCAATAGTGAAATCAAGGTTAGAGGATCACCTAGGTTTTATTGTTTGAGGCTCATCTGGTATGCCTGGTATGCAGCTTGTGACAAATATTGGCTCTGGTTGAGCAAAGACATCTTGTCCATATTTTAGTGTTCAGCATACATCCTCTGTACATTACACGTATGCATGCGCACGCACACGCGCACACACACACACACCCCCATATTACATATGTGATGCTAGAACATAGTGATGTTCATAGTGTTCAACATAGTGATGTTGTGTAATCCTTCCAATGAATTTGACTGAAATCATTTTGTGTTTTCCCTTAGATTCCTCGGATGCTACAAAAAGATGCAATTGCACGGTATTACGGATGGGAGAAGGGGCAAGTGGTGAAAGTTAGTTACAGTGATGAAATTACAGAGTCTCATGTCACTTATCGCTGTGTTTGGTGATGCGTGTATTGTCCATTTTCAGGATTTTTGAACAAGCACATTATGCAACATCACCAAGCGCTCAATCGGTGACGTCTGAGTCTTAAGGTCGGTCAAAAATGGGGTGTCTACAACTATATATCATCTGTGTTAACTCATGCTGAAACTTTGGTTGGTAGAAGTTAATAGGTCTATGATCTTCATGTTCTTTTATTATGTCGACATTGATGCTGTTGGCAGGAATTTCAAGTATGTGTGTGCTTGTTAATATATATTGCAGCTTGTGAATTGTGTTATTTTTTAGGCTTATAGTTGCCTTTTGTGAACTTTTTCAATTTTGAGTCCAAAGATATTTACTTTTTAGGTCTATCTAGATTAGACAATCCTAAAACGTTTTAAAAAATAGAAAAATTTCAACAGAAGTTTAGTAAATTCAAAAATAAGTTCACTTTTGTATGTTTGTTATTATAAAATCTAACTTTTAATTATTTTTTTATTTTAAAGGACTGCTCAGTGGCCAAAACTCGTGTTTTTTACTATAAGGTCATGAGTTCGACTTTCAATATATCCAAACAAATATATGTAGGCAAAGTAACTGGGATAAGCTGCCAAATCTTTATTCTAGAATGATCTATCCATGATAAATTTAACAGCAGTAATTGGAGCACAATTATAAACCCATCAAATTGTAAGAATTGCCTACTTTGGCTAGTTTTGAGAAGTAGGAAAAAATTAGCTTTTTGATTTTTTTTTTTGTTGAAAAAATGTATAAAAAGTAAAAAGGTGATGTAATATAAATAAGTTAATAAATTGACTTTTTTTCATGTTCCCAAAAGAAGCCAAAGCATTCTCTTCAGAGTAAGGGAAAAAAAAAATTGAACAAAAAAAGAAGGAAAACAGCCCAAAAAAAACAATGTCAAACTAACTTGATCTTTCGCAGAAACCGAGCTTCAAACCAGAAACATGAATTTCCAAAGCATCCTCCAAAACAACAATGAGAAAACTATCCCTCCTTTATTTCAGTAAAAATAAATAAAAATTATGACAGCCACAAAATATATTCTACATTGCTACAGTCGTACTAAAATTTATTTATAATAAGATCAATGAATTAAGTAGAGTTCAATCAACAACGGTAATTCTCATCTATTTGAATTATCAATCTACTTCACCAAAACAATAACAAGCTGCCAACAGGTTGGATTCAAGCAGTGGTGTCCATTCCTACTTTCTACAATTACGCTTGTCAATATAAAAAAATAAAAAATAAAAATAATTAATGAATTAACTAGAAAGCAAATAAACTGGCGTGCAAGCCGAGGACTGCCTTGCTTCTGGTGGATGATGCATGTCCTGACTGTCTTGCGCGGAAATCCACCGGAATGCCCCAATTAGCCTCTGTTTACACCTGTTATTCTTGAAAAGCGTGCCAAGTCCCGGAAAGTTGCTGATTCCTGGTTTTGCTGTAACAGAGAGCAGGAAAGGGGCATAGCAATGTATTTGCACAAATATATGCATGTCTCGATCCTCGTGCCACCAATCACGCATACCGAGGCATGATGGCCGAGGAGTCGAAATGCACAACTCAATATAGGATGAATGCACATGAAACTACAGCTAAAACCTAACTCCATCATGGATAATCCGGAGTGTCGGTGACTGGGGAATTGAGACACATTCCGTCACTCGGAGTACGAAATGTACCTCGTTTCCCGTGCCCGGGCTAACTCCTATTCCGGACATGATGCAATATGCATGATATGCATGAAATGCAACTAATATACAATCTTAGCATACACAATGGTATGGAATGATATGCCTCGAAATACGTGCACTCGGGCACCCAAACCGAGAAAAAGACGGAATGCAATGAAAATGAGATGCCTCGGAGTACGTGCGCACGGGCACGCAAACCGAGGCGATGACAGATACAATTGAAATGACATGGACTCGAAGTACATGCACACGGGTACAATATAATAGAGACGCAGATTCAACGTTACATCAGGATATAATTTCAATGCGAGATAAACGCGTGCATATACAATGCAAATAAAAAGGTGCATAACAATGCATGGGAGACGTGCATAACAATGCAAGTGAAACGGTGCATAACAATG